GGGGGTTGTCTGAAGGCCAGAAAAGGAGGTTTGGGAAAGATTTCTTTCAGGATGTGATCCCACTTGAGTATACATGAAGGCAAAATTTACTGATTAAGCTTAAATTAGGTGGACTTGTGACTCAGTTTCCCAATTTACCCACAACATTCCTCACAGCAGTAAATCTTGACAGCAACTGACTGCTCTACTGTACCCTCACTGCAATATCTGCCACGACATCCAACAACCACAGAGCAGAATATTAGGGTGATATTTTGGGTAAAACAATCAGCAGCCAAATATTTAATACAGATATTTGAAATGTCATCATTAGGTTTCAAAGATGACATTTCATTGTGATGCAGGGGGCAGTCCACAGTTCTCAGAGAGATTGTTTCAAGTTGTCTGCAAATTCAAGCAGATACCTCTACATCACTGTACATTCAGTTCAGATTTTGAAAATTATCTTAGTACCACAAAGACTAGAGACTTCTTCAATGAAATCTTAGATTCTGTAGCAAAATTATGCAGCAATATATATGGCTGTATAATTCTGTTACACAGGGGGCCTTGACTATAATGTAATCTTGATGAAACAAAAGAATGGATATCTGTGATCTGAGTGGCAATGCATACAAGGTGATATAATAAACTTATGGATGCAGTTGAGCCTGGCTGTATGTTTACACATCGGACTAAAGGGGGAGTAAGAATTACTCATACTCCCGTGCATGGATTATCTGCCTCATCAGACCATACACAGTGCGGTGCAGAAGAGAGTAGTTGCTGCTCCTCTTCTCACTGATGGGAGAGGAGACTTGGCTCACCACACTCAGTGCACCAGCCAGTGCAGCCAGCACAGCTGAGGTGGCATGGAGGTGAAGTGCAGGGGCAGCTGCCTTCCCCTGTGGAACGAGGGGGAAACAGGAGCTACACTATGACTTTCATAGGTGCTCTTGGGGCAGTGCAACTATCTGCTATCCATTATTTGCACAATCCAACCTCCGTGAAGGAGAGATTTGTAGGAGCCCATCTCACTCATGGCTCAAAAAAGCTCACTCAATAAAGCGAGCCATTGAGGCCACAATGGAGCAAAGCATTCAGGCATGCAGTAGAAATGGTCACCTGCTTAGAGTTACACGCATGCTTAAATGCTTTTTGGGTTGTAACCTCAGGGTGTTTCTTAGCAATGTAACACAATTCTGGCTATTTAGTAAGCAGCTCCACATGGCAGGATTTAAGTGTCAGTGCCAGAAAGCATTACAGAGGCAGGCAGTGCAGTCAACTCCCACAATTTAAATTGTTACTTTGCGAATGTTGCAACAGTTTGTGTTTTTCTTAAAGCCTCAGCTCACGCAGTCCTGCAATTGCATAAGAATCTGTTCTCATTTTTAATAAAAGCTTCTAGCACTCAAAGTTAAGGAAAAAAGCTTGAAAAGAGCTTCATTATTAAATATAATATATCACAAATGGAAGAAAGTAATGAATATCAATCAGAAGCTAGGAGCTGTAGAAAACTGATAAAGGAAGCAAAGTGACACAAGGAGAAATCTATGTCCAGCAAAGTTAAGGACAATAAGGACTTCAAGTATATTAGAAAGAAAAAGAATCCTGACAATGGTAGTGGTCCATTACTAGATAGATATGGTAGAACTAGCAATAACAATTCAGAAAAGGCAGATGTGTTTAATAAATAAATATTTGTTCTATATTTGGGGGAAAAACAGATCATATAGTCTCATCTCGGGAGTATGCTAAATAGCAACTATTATAGTTAGACATTTTAAATTCAGCAGTTCCATATAATTTTCATCCAAGAATTTTAAAAGAGCTTGCTGAGGAGTTTGCTGGACTGCTAATCAGGGCCGGCTCTGGCTTTTTTGCCGCCCTAGGCAAAAAAAGCCACCCGCCGCTCCCCCCCCACCCCGCCCCAGCACGGCAGGGGAGGGTGCTAAGCCCGGCCGCGGGCCCGCAATCCCCAACCAGCTGGAGCGCCGGGGGGGAGGCGGCGAGCCCGCCACAGCTCCGCTCTCCCCGGCAGCCAAAGCGCCGGGGGGAGGGCGGAGAGCCCAGCCAGGGCTCTCCGCTCTCCCCGGCGGCCAGAGCGTTGGGAGCAGGGCGGAGAGCCCCCAGCGGCCAGAGCGCCGTGGGGAGGGCGGTGAGCCCACCGTGGCTCTCTGCTCTCCCCGACCGGCCGGAGCGCTGGGGGGAGGGTGGCAAGCCCGCTGTGGCTCCGCTCTCCCCGGCGGCCGGAGCACTGCGGGGAGGGCGGCGAGCCCAGTCGCGGCCCCGCTCTCGGGCCAGAGTGCCCCGCCGCCCCCCTCCAGGCGCCGCCCCAAGCACATGCTTGGTGGGCTGGTGCCTGGAGCCGGCCCTGCTGCTAATGTTGATTTTTACTAAGTCTTGGCACATTAGGGAAGTTCCAGAAGACTGAAAGAAAGCTAATGTTGTGCCAATATTTTAAAAGGATAAACAGGGTGACCCATGTAATTATAGGGCTGCAAGTCTGACATCAACTGGGAGTGACTGATGAAGAATGAAAGGAGGGTAATATGATTTATACCAATGAACATGGATTTATGGAAAATAGATCCTGTCTTACCTGACTTCTATTTTTGATGAAATTATAGGTTTGGGTGATAAATGCAATAGTGTTGATGTAATATATTTAGATTTCTGTAAAAACAACAGATGTTTTTGTAGATACAGACTAACACAGCTACCCCCTGATACTAGACTTCTGTAAGGCATTTGACTTGGTACTGCATGACATTTTGATTAAAAAATTAGAACAATATAAAATTAACCTGGCATGCATTAAATGGATTAAAAACTGGCTAACTGATAGGTTTAAAATGTAATTGTTAACAGCGAATCATCATCAAGTAGGTGTGTTTCTAGTGAGGTCCTGCAGGGATATATTCTTGGCCCTATGCTATTTAATATTTTTACCGAAAACCTAGGAGAAAACATAAAATCGTCACTGATAAAGTTTGCAGATGACACAAAATTTGGGGGAGTGGTAAATAATGAAGAGTACTGGTCACTAGTACAGAGCAATCTGGATTGCTTGATAAACTGGGCTCAAGCAAATAATAGGTGGTTTAATATGGCTAAATGTGAATATATTCATCTAGGAATGAAGAATGTAGGCCATACTAACAGGATGGGGGAAGAGGGGGTTATAGCTTGGGAAGCAATGACTTTGCGGGTCATGGTGGATAGTCAGCTGAACATAAGCTCCAAATGTGATTAGCCAAAAGGGCTAATGCAATCCTTGGATGCATAAATAGGGGAGTCTTAAATAGGAGTAGAGAGGTTATTTTACCTCTATTTTTGGTGTGACTGCTTCTGGAATACTGTGCCCAGTTCTGGTGTCCACAATTCTAGAAGAATGTTGATAAATTGGAGAGAGTTCAGAGAAGAACCACAGTTTATGAGTAGTTACATGGGGAACAAAAATTTAATAATGAGCTCTTCAGTCTAGCAAAGAAAGGTTTAATACAATCCAGTGGCTGGAAGCTGAAGCTAGACAAATTCAGACTGGAAATAAGGTGTAAATATCTAACAGTGAAAGTAATTAACCACTGGAACTATGTGGCAAGGGTTGTAATAGATTCTCCATGACTGATAATTTTTAAATGAAGACTGGGTGTTTTTCTAAAATATAAACTTTAGGAATTACTTTGGGTCAGTTCTGTGGCCTTTGTTATACAGAGATCAGACTACATGGTCACAATGGACCCTTCTGGCCTTGGAATCTATGAAAAGATGAGCAAAGTAACCTAAAAGCTCAGAATCCAAAAGGCAAAAAGAAAGGAACTCACAATGCCTTATGTTTTTAAAATCTCACGGATTTTAAGCCAATCGTGATTTCAGTATTGCCAACCCAAAATGTTCAAAAATCATGAGTCAGGCTCACCAAAAATCATGAGATTGGCTTTAAAATTACGAGATTATGTAAAAATAATAGATTTGGTGTTTTTATTTGCCTTCTGCTTGTTGAGACTGTAGGGAATATTGGTGTCACATTTTGAAGCTGTCTCCACAGCCAGGAGGGCTAGAAATGTATTTTTTCTAAGAATGAAGGCTGAAAGCATCACATTTCCACTTGACTCCAGGAGCTGAGGCTTTAAGGAAAACAGTAATTAGCAAGAGAATCATGACAAAATCATGAGAGTTGTTAACACTCTGATTTTTGGGGTGTCTGATTCATTATTTTTGAATGATTGGGGATAGCAATACAGGGGGCCAAGTTTTTATTAAAACAGTTTATTAGCACATTTCAAGAAAATCTAAAGAAAGGCATTTGGGTGTGACACCAAATGAATAAAATAAATATACAGTCACCCACGGCCTTGCAGAATCATTCAGCCAAGGAAGCTTTTCCCCAGTCACAGAGGAAGGCCCTTGTGATAAAGATTCAAACAGATCTCTTATTTCCACTTGTGATCAAATCAAAGCTAGGGCAGAAAAGTAGCTAAGCCTTCAATTTTTGGTTTTATCAGCTAAGTTGACAATGTTTCATTTTTACAAAATGGAAAGTGCATTTCTCCTATGCCTGAGGAATCCAGTTGGTCAAAGAGGCCACTCAGCATTGACAGGTTGTTTTCCTTTCGTTTTTCAATCCCGCTTCTCAATGTTAATCATATTGTCAAGGTTTTAGTAGTTCTTAGTCTGTTTCTGGAAAGAAACACTGTAGTATTTGTGACCATTTCCCTCCCTCTCCTTGCTTCAGGCAGTGCTGAGCCATAGAAACAAGATACCTCACGCTGTTATCAGAGGCTTATGACCCTGGGGGCCAGGTTTTATCATTCGGGGGTGGAAGGGAGCGGAATAGTGGTTGTCTACACTACGACCCTTACAATAGCGCGGCTTTGCCGCTGCAGCCACCCCGTTGTAAGGTGTGTGGCCGCTCTTTATCGCTGGGAGCGAGTTCGCCCATCCACAAAATACAACCACCCCCAACCACAGCTGGTAACTTCGTCGAGGCTCCCGCAGACTAAGCACTGTCCACGCCCGCGCTTTTCATCGCTAAAACGTTTGTAGTTCTGGGGGGTGTTTTTTCAATCCCGATTCATGCTCGCGCCCAAGGCCAGGGGCTCCGGGGGCAGGGCCCAGGATGGGGCGGCTCCCACTTGTGCCGCTGGGCGATTTTCACAAGCACCCACTAACACCAGCAATGCTGCCGGGTGCCGCCCTCCGGCCGGGACCCAGCGGCGCTGGAGGCGGCCAGTGGATGAGACAAAGCGGAGCGCAGAGCCGGAGCTGCAGCCGTAGCCAGGTGAGGGGCACGAATCGGACTGGGGGGCAGGGCTGCGCGCGAGGCCCGGCCGGCATTTCCCAGCGCGGCGCCTGGGAGCGCGGGGGATTCTCAGTCCCGGGGGGCAGTGGGGAGACGCGGGCCCCACGCGGCGGCTGCTCCACTGACGCGACAGCGACAGGGCACAAGGTGGGGAGCGAGCGCGCCCGACGCAGCGTGACAGTGGCCCGCGGCGCAGCCGCAGGGTTCCACTTCCCCGGGCTGCAGCGCAGCCTCTGCCCTGCGCGGGCGCCTCCCTCCGCCTTGTGCCCGGCGCCTTGGTGCGGCTCGCGCGAGTACAGTAGTTACTTTAGTTTAGTTTGTGCATTTGACAGAAGTGGAGGGGGCTCTGCCGGGGCAACAACCAAAAATGACGCTGAGGAGCGGGGGAAAGCTTGTGTTGGAAGAGAGCTTGGGAAGATCGGGACTGTTTAGAGATGGAGATGAAAGAGGCGATAATTTGCTTCTCTCAACCCTATCCTCTCTCATAAGGCAACAATGGGACTTGCAAGGAAGTTAACAGGCTCACATTTAAAGGGGATAAAAGGATCGTTTACCTAATGCCTAAGTAGCACGTGGAAACTCTGCCACAATATATCATTTAGGCAAAGAGTTTAGTAGGACACACATACACACACACAAATTAGACGTTTATAGGATTCAGAGAACATCTGCAGTAAGTTTAGGTAATATTTAAGAAAAATGGAAGTGATCAACTCTTATTCTTCAGAGATTAACTAACTTCTAATTGATGGACATTAGATTAGCAGAGTGATGGGTGTTCTGTAGAGTATAAAGAGAACAGAATAGGAGCAGGTTATTCCATAAATGCCCACTTCGGGGTTTCTTGCATCTTGTAATGGTCACTGATAGAGACAGAACACTGGGGACCAGATGAAACACTGGCCCATCTGACAATTCCTACATTCACGTGATTGCATTCCGGGTATAGCCAGTTTCACCAGTTCCATTTTACAGCCAGTCAAGTTCTCTTGGCTGGGTTTTTCATGGAGCAAAGGGAAGAAAATATAATTAAAGAATAAAATGTGTTTGAAAACCCACAAACACTGGCCTATGGGGTCAGGGGCACATATAGGAGCTGAAACTATTTCTAATTGATTATTTTTAAAATTGATTTGACTTAAAGTCGATAGTGTCCATATAAGGATATTTGTCAAATATGATAGCAGGTTTCCAATTTAAGGGTTGTGGGAGTTGCACTTTGTATCAGTTTATTTGGCTTATTTTTCAGTCATTAGCTTTAGCATTTGTAGAAGCTTCTGACCTTAAATATAAGCTTTCCTGTAGTCTTAATTTTAGAAATATTTCCTATGATGAGACTATTAAATATTACCAATCCAAAATTGTCATGGGAGCCCTGCTCAGCCATGCACTGGTGCATCCTCAGTGCAGATATTATATTAGGGGAATTTAGTTGCTAAAATTGAAGTCTCTACTGAGCATGGATGAACTGTGATTTTTCAAAGGCTTATAACTTCACCAAATTTGGGTGGATTTTCATGGGGATAATAAAAGGCACATTATTGACACAAAGGTCACACCCTACCAAATCGTAAACCCTAGCTCCAAAGGTTTCATAATGGCTTCCGTTGGGAGGGAGAGAAGCAAGTGGGGAGAGGACCATCTAGGAAGGAGCAGGTTCCTTATTTTGTTACCTTGACCACCTTCCTCTCTGATTACTAGTTTTCCCTCTGCCTCTATGCAGTCCTCCTTCATACTCTTTGAATACACCTTCCGTGTCTATGTCTCCTCTGACCCATTAGTTGCTGCCTCCTCAGCCTCATTTCCTCATCCTTCCCGCCTTATTTGATCTTCAGCCCTGGAACAGCTCTTTTGCTCACCGAGATGATCACTCATTGAATCTTGTTCTGAATAAAAATTCTTGCATCTCAGATCTATTCTTTCAGCACTCCCTCTCTCTAACCATCACCTAATGCCCATCAATGATGCTCTTTACCCCCTTGCACAGGCCTTCCATGACACATGGTCCATCACTGGCCACTGCCAGGATTCCTCTGCTACGGTCAGTCCCCTCTTCCGCTGATTTTCCTCTGGCACTACTGCAATGTGTTTAAAAATAGTTATATCAAAGTCCTACTTCACATGAGAAAAATAGGATATTAAGAACATAATTTAAATACAATGAAAGCATGTCTGTAACTTCTCTGGTAGTAGTAGGAATAAATGAACAGCGTGTTCTCTCTTTCTAGGGGCAAGGTTAAGAAGCTGTTTTGATTATGAAGAGAGTTTGACTCAGTTTGCCTAATTCTTTTAACTGAAGATGTTAAGTAAAAGTGAATCCCATACTTCATGGCAGGAATCAATGATTAGCTCGACCTGGCTGACTTACATATTAGAAGAATGGACTGGTGTGGAGTGCCACTATTTATACTATATCGGCTTCATCTTGTGTGTGTTAAACATAATGTTTGTACCTATTTTAATTTTTATAAGCCTTAGTTGCTTTTTAAATCTTCTCCTGCACATTTACAAGAGAAAGAATGGCCTAGATGAGGATTTCTCCAATAAGTCATGGGACAACGGAAGGTTCATGGTGGCATCCATACTTAGTATGTGTGGAAAACTGTTCCACGGTAAGACGTTTTTCTCTCTGAACACTATTGTGTTGTGAGATGCTATCATTTGATTATTAAAAACTGGTATCCTGAACTTTTTGTGGCTGAACTATAGTTACACTATACAGATGGGGTTCACTGTTGACATTTTCTGGGCACTTTGAGCCATCATAGATAATAGGAATGATGGAGGCTTTCAGCTAGGCCACTGGATCTTATCCAGCCCAAGTTGGTAGTAACAAAAGCTTTTATCAGCTGATGCTGTTTGTTACTCCCTGGCTGAGTCTACACTTGACTTCTATGTAAAAATGTTCTTATCATCAATGTGACTCTCCCTCTCGTAGCAGTGGTGGGAAATTTTTAAGAAAAAGCCTACTGTAGAAAAGGAACATAAGTACTGGTGTGGGTTTATAAATATTAGAACTGCCAGACACATGTTAGATTGTAGGTTTTTTGCTAAATTAGAATTATAGGCATAGTGGATGAAGTTAATGCAATAGACACAGAGCCTGAAAAACTCCCTTGATACAGAAAATTTCTAATTTCTATGACATCCGCTATCTAGAGGCTGATATAAAAGATAAAACCCACAAACAGAGACCAGGGTCAGCATCCTAGCAGAAACTTTTGCATTCTCCCCTTTCCCAACAGTTTGGAGTTAGGGGGCCTTGCCTTCTCAGTAACACAATAAACAATTTCAAGGCCTGCAATAGGTGCACTGGAACCAAATTCTGCAGTAACAAGCCCTAAATTCGGTGCCAATATTAATAACTCATTCACTACTAGAAAATACCCTTCATTCTCCATGTTTTCCCCTGCCACGACACACACAAACAGACCATGTCATTTAAAGCTGAAAATACTCCTTGATGTTGAATTGAATAGTGATTATTTGAGGTTGGGATTTTGATTAAACTCTCCAAATGACCCAGGAATGGGATTCCCAGGATTTTGGCTCCTACAATGTTGGCAAGGCAGTCTGAGTAAGAATGTCCCTCTCCCACCCCCACTGTGTATCAGGGAAAGTGGCGCACATAGCTGGCTTCATTAAGCCTTGGCTGTTGTGCCTTGGCAGCCCAGCCCACTTCTGTCTCCTTCCACTCCTTGGCACTCATAGGGAGAGAAGGAGGCAGAGTTCCTGGGGCCCTGATTGAGATGAGCAGAGCAGTTTACACCTCTTACAGGTATTGTTTCAGACTCTCTGTAGACTCAAGAAGACATTACTGCATTGATTTACACACTTCACATTGTCAAGGTTATCTCTGCAACCATAAAAGGCTAGAAACAATTAAAAAAGAGAGCGCAGGGTTTCTGGAGCACAATTGTGTGCCAAGGTGTAAATTCTGCATCAGATTCTCCAATCATGGAATACACTGGAACCTGCTTGAGAGTGAAAGTAGGCAGCATATTTTGAATATACGTTTGCGATACAATATGACAGCACAAAAGACCAATGCATCACATCTGAAACAGGGAGTTGTTAATAATTCCTCACCTGTATGATTTGGTGAGACTATTTATCATGTTACCTGCTGCTCAAAGTGCACAAATTTTTGTGTGAATGAGAGGGGAGTGTTGAAGCTTCCAAGAATTTCCAGACACAGACTAGTTTTGAGGGGTAAAACTAAGACACACAAGCATCAACACTTCATTTAAATGAAGGGGTTCACTCCTTTTGGCCTTGAATTCCCTCCCCCCTTCCCTGCCCATGAAAGTGTAAGGCCTTTGTAGCAGAATCAGTGTATTTCAGCTTCTCAGAATATGTCTACACTACAGTTAAAAACTTGCGGCTGGCCTGTGTCAGCTGACTTGGGCTCGGGCTCAGTGGCTGTTTAATTGCGGTGTAGACATTCGGGTTCGGGCTGGAGCCTGGGCTCTGGGACCCTGCAAGGGGGAAACCAGTACTTAGATTCTGTACAAATAGATGGGAAAGCCACTTATGCCTTTTTTTCTAGTTTTAATTTGTGAGTAAGCTGCTACTTTTACATAGTCTTTTTAGACTAAAATTACACTTTGGGATGAACTGAGATGCTTTTTTAAACAAATACAAGGAAATAGTTAAGATCCTAAATCCATAACTAAAGTATATATATAAATACACTGTGAAATAACATAGTTGAAAAATCACTTTTTATTTCATTTACTTGTCATGACCTCTGTGTAATTTTTTTTTGTTGCAAGTTTCATAACATTGCAAACACCTAAAGCAGAAAAGGGAACTGAAATATTTAAAGAACTCTTGTTGTGTCACTGTCAGCTCTTGCAGGAGAAATGCAGGACTCTGAACCTGCATGTTAAAAGAAGAAAAGCTTCCAGCCTGGATTGCATTCCTTTATTAGGCAACCTCCTGTCTCAAGAAACTGCCCCAGAATATCCCTACACTTGGCATATTTCTTTTATTAAGAGACCTTCTTTTGTTAAACCAACCAGCTTTTCACAGGTCCTTGACTGATCTCTATATCTTTAAACATGTACTTTTTGTAAATTTAAAGTGGTATGGGTATTTTGATAGTAGTTTAAGTTCTTAAACAATATTTTTTCTTAATTTTCTTTTTAAAAGTCTTGGTTCATATTTTTAAAAGCAAATATCACTTCTACAAGCAGGTAACCCTCATGTCTATTAGGACTAAAATCTGAAGAGACGATTTTTGACAAACAGTAAAAAGTGGCCCAATCAGGAACCTCTCTAATCAGAGGGTAGGGATGTGGTTTATGCCCTAGTTGGGCTTCATGGACCCCAGTCCCAGCTGCTGTCTGTGAGCTGCTAGGTGGAGGACTGGAGTGAGATAACTCCCAGGACGCCTGGTTTCAATACCCCTGGGGCCTGACACTGGTGAGGAAAAAGGATGGGGGGTTCCATCCAATTTTTTATTTAAGGAACCTCAACAAATACATTCAGAAGTTTCAGTTCTGCATGTTAACTTTGGCTTCCATAAGCCCTTCACTTTCGGTCACGGATTGGTTCACAACTCTTGATTGAAAGAACACGTAATTTCATATATTGATTCATCACACTTATTGAAAATACCTTCATTTCATATCCATCACAGAATTAATTTGCTGATATCTTTCCAAAAGGCACATTCTAATAAAGAGGAATCTGTTTTACATACTTTGGATGTGAGAAGGGCCCTTGCTGATTAGCTAGATAGAACTATCAGAGGGGTAGCCGTGTTAGTCTGAATCTGTAAAAAGTAACAGAGGGTCCTGTGGCACCTTTAAGACTAACACAAGTATTGTGACCTGTAGGAGAACACTTCAACCTCCCTGGCCACACAATAGCAGATGTAAAGATAGTCATCTTACAGCAAAAAAACTTCAGGACCAGACTCCAAAGAGAAACTGCTGAGCTCCAGTTCATTTGCAAATTTGACACCATCAGATCAGGATTAAACAAAGACTGTGAATGGCTAGCCAACTACAGAAACAGTTTCTCCTCCCTTGATGTTCACACCTCAACTGCTAGCAGAGCACCTCACCCTCCCTGATTGAACTAACCTCGTTATCTCCATACTGATTTATACCTGCCTCTGGAGATTTCCATTACTTGCATCTGAAGAAGTGAGGTTCTTACCCACGAAAGCTTATGCTCCCAATACTTCTGTTAGTCTTAAAGGTGCCACAGGACCCTCTGTTACTAGATAGAACTAAAGGTTTTAGAAAATCATGTATATTATTTGTGTCTCATGCTAAGAATCATGTGGGTTTTATGGTTTCTTCACAGACTATTTTTAGATGGATTAAACAATGTATTATTGAATGTTACATATTAGCAGAAATTCCTGTACCTATTTCAGTACAATCACATTCTACTAGAGCTGTAGCAACTTCTTTGGCTTGCCATAATCAGGTCCCCGCCGCTGAAATTTGAAGAGCTGCAACCTGGAATTCTGTACACACGTTCACCAGGCAATATGCTCTGGATTTGGTCGCTATGGCTGATGCTACATTCAGGAGAGTGGTGATTCAGTCATTGTTCAATGGGGACTCTGTTCCCACCTCCGGACTATTATCAGCACTGCTTATAAATCGAAACTGTAAGTGGGAATATAGTAGAAATAGAATAGGTCCAAAAAAGGACACTGCAGATGATGAGAGCCATGGAAAAGCTTGATGAAAAATATGATGAAAGATTAAAATGATTAAGAGTATGTAGTTTAGAGAGAAACTATTGAACAGTATAGAGAAGTTAATCGTGTGCTTCTAGTTACATTTTCACCATATTACAAGAAGGGAGAAATTAAAAGCAACACATTTAAACTGGATAAAGAAAATTATTTTTACACAATGCATCATGAAACTGGAGAATTAAGTGCCACAGTGTATTATGTAGGCAAAGAGAATTAGACAATTTTATCTGAATATGAATATCCACAATTCTATGAGGTTGAAAATGTATTATAGATATAAACTCTTGTGCTTCAGGACACAAGCCAACTTGTAACTGCATGGTTAGACATAACCCTTTCTCCAGATATGTTTTTTGATAATCGTCCATTGTGGAGGTTTGGAGCATCTTCTGTTGGTCACTGTTAGAAACAGGCTACTGGCTACTGAATTAGATGGACCATTGGTGTAATATTGTGTAGCATTTTCTATGTTACCACTTTCCAGCAGCTTCACTCTTAGGACTATCAAGTGAAATGTTTGACTATCAGAACCAAGAGTTAATTGTTATGTCTATTGTTATGCTAAAACTTACTCCTGGTACAGTTTCCCCACATATCGTCAAGAGTTTCCACAACTCTAGTAAGGAGTTTATGTCATATCACAGGTTGACTGGTATAAAGCTAGTATTAAAACTATTGTACTTTGTACTCTTGACAGGTTATGAGCTTCATGGTATTGAAAAAATTCCGGAAGGACCAGGGCTTATAGTTTATTACCATGGAGCCTCTCCTGTAGACTACTGCTTCTTTATCTGTACTCTCTATATACAGACGGGAAGACTCTGTTACTCAGTAGTTGATCGCTTCTTTGCTAAGTTACCAGGTAAAGTATTTTTATTGTAAATAAGAGAATTAGTAATATTTTGAATTCTGAGATATTAATTCATACCATTTTAGAGATACATACATTATTACAAATATTAAGACTTAAACAAAATGCTTTCCAGGTATGCACTACAGAAAATAGTATAATTTCACACATTTGTGAAACTCTGTGGTCTTTTGAATTCAATTATAGCTAAAGATTTCTAGATTTCAAAAAACTTTGCATGTAGCTTTAACATAAAAATGAACTGTTCTTTCTGTTCACTTATTATTGGTATGATTAACTGTTGTAAATTGGAAGAATGCAATTTTATTATTGGCTCTTTTTGAGCAAATCCTAAAATATAAACTCTTCTAACAAACTTATTTTCTCAGGGTGAGAATAGAAATCCTTAAATAGAAATCCTATGAAGCATCCAACTCTCATTAAGGTTGTCATTAGGAACCAGTAACTTGCATTACACAAGAAAATTTGGACTCGCAACGCAAATCTATCCTTGATTTAATTCCATTGAAGTTAATGAAGTTGTACCAAGGGTGAATTTTGCCTATAGTCTTTGTATGTAGTCTTCCAGCACGTTTTCTTTAATAATTTAGTTTTCCTGGCTTCTTCCAATTGATGTTCTGAAAATGAAGATTGGTTACTTGTAACTGAGATTCTTCAAGATGGACTCTGCATATTCACAGTCATGGGATGTGTGATAAATAGGGTAATCTCCTGAAATATCCTGGATGAACTTTACTGAATTAAGTTTAAAATCTTTGGAATCTATTGTATTAAATGAATTGTTTATGTATCCTCGCGGGGCAGGGATTGCATGTATTTCCATGGCAAGGGTAAATATAGCTCCCCCCAGAACTACGAACAATATGGGGTGATTAGTCAAAGTCATACAGGTTCCAAAATCTCTGGAGAAGCACCAGCTACTGGCGAGGTTTGCCTAAACTAGTTCAAACTGGATTCTTCAGGGACTAAGAAACAAAGGAAGGGATTTTGGTTAAATGGTCTGGTGGTAAACTGATTCAGGGCCTTCTTTCTGATCCAGCAGTCGGACAGGATCTGTGGTCCACGGAAGGTCCCAATCCTTAGGGAAGGTTGGAAGGACTTTGGCCTACTTAGGCCCCAAAAGACTGGGTTCCTGTTCTGAACAAAGGGTGTTATGAACTTGAAACCACAGGAAAACCCATGTGGGGTTTGAAGGATTGCTCCTGCCAGAACCCTTATTGGATTTGGAGTGATCTCTAGTAAGCTTATTAGCACGCATGTAGGTCTTTGTATTGTTTTTAATGTGTTTTCTCTGTATTGCTTTTATACTAAGACTAAAATAAGCTTGTTTAAAAAGAGATGTTTGGTAGATTAATAGTAGTAATTACATTGTTAAACACCTCTGAAGAGAAGGCAAAACAAGCCTGCTTAGGCAGCCTGTGTTTTGTTGGGGATAGTCACAGTAAAGACAAGGAGTGGTTCAACCTGGAAATACCCTAGTCAGAAAGGAGAGCGATGCATGTCTCCACCCAATGGCTCAATCCAAAGGCAATGGCTGGGGAGCCAGAAGCTCAAGAGTGGGTGCCCTTGCTGGACCACTGAGGGGAAATACAGGTGCCCTGAACTGTGACATATATGATGGCATTGTGTGTGGGGGATCTGTATCAGTGTGAATTGCATAAGTTTCCACAGCAGTGGAAGTAAGTACCCTAGAAAGGAGAAGTACAGAGAAAAGTCTCAATCTTTTCGGGAAAGTTTTGTTCAAAGAGACAGGGAAAGATGAATTATGAACAGCTGAGGAGACCTTGGCTGGTTGAGGTGTGCACAGAAAGGCAGCTCAGCATTGAGGACCTGATGAAAACACAGTTAGTAGGTTTGCTGTATTCTAATGAACAGAAGAGGAATAATGGTCCAGGTCTGCAGGGAACTTCCAGCCCACTGGCAGAGGGTACAGCTGGCAGGGTAAATCTTGGAGCCAGCTCCTTGGAGGGAAGCAGGTAAGTGGCTTGCAGAGGCACTACCTCTTTTCTATGCAGTCTGAGTGCATCACTGCAACTGGGATCAGAGACTGATCTACAAGTAGATCAGGAGAATCTGCAGCTGGAAAGGGACAAACTGCATCTGGAAATGCAGCAGCTAGCAGATCAGGAGCAACAGAGAGAAGACTAGGAGAAACAGGCTAAGTACAAGAGAGAAGAAAAGGAGAAGTATTACCAGCATGAGGAGAGAAAGAAAGACAAACAGCTTCAAAGTCCTAATCCAGTAGGTAGAACTAGTTGTCAGGTACTTGTCCTGGTAGGTGGTATAAACTCCAGATTACTTCCTCATTTTGGAGAGGGGGATGACATAGATGTGTGTCTAAATGCTTTGGAAAGGTTTTCTGAATTGATAGGTCTCAAATGTAATTGTTAACAGGGAATTGTCATTGAGTGGGTATATTTCCAGTGGGGTCCCACAGGGATCGGTTCTTGGCCCTATATTAGATTTTTATCAGTGACCTGGAAGAAAACATAAAATCATCCATGATAAAAGTTTGCAGATGACACAAACTGGGGGAGTGGTAAATAATGAAGAGGACAGGTCACTGATTGAGAGCAATGAGGACCACTTCATAAACTGGGCAGAAGCAAACAATATGTGTTTTAATACGGCCAAACATAAATGTATACCTCTAGGAACAAAAAACATAGGCTGTACTGACAGGATGGGAAACTCCATCCTGGGAAGCAGTGACTCTGAAAAAGATTTTGGGTCATGGTAGATAATCTGCTGAACATGACCTCCCAGTGCGATGCTCTGACCAAAAGGGCTAATGCAATCCTTGGATGAATAAACAGGGGAATATTGAATAGGAATATTTTTTCTCTGTATTTGGCACTGCTGTGACTGATGCTGGAATACTGTGTCCAGTTCTGGTGCTCACAATTCAAGAAGGATGTTGATAAATCGGAGAGGGTTCAGAGAAAAGCCACAAGAATTATTTAAGGATTAGACAACATGCCTTATAGTGAGAGACTCCGAGCTCAATCTATTTAATTTAACAAAGAGAAGGTTAAGGGGTAACTTGATTATAATCCATAAGTACCTAGCTGAGGAACATATGTTTAATAATGGGCTCTTCAGTCTAGCAGATAAAGGTATAACACAATCCAATATCTGGAAGATGAAACTAGACAAATTCAGACTGGAAATAAGGTGTACATTTTTAACAGTGAAGATAATTAACCATTAGAGCAATTTACGAAGGGTTGTGATGGATTCTCCATCACTGACAATTTTTAAATCAAGATTGGTTGTTTTTCTATAATACATGCTCTAGCACAGTGGTTCTCAAACTTTTGTACTGGTGACCCCTTTCACATAGCAAGTCTCTGAGTGACACCCTCTCCCTCCTTATAAATTAAAACCACTTTTTTATATATTTAACAACATTATAAATGCTGGATGCAAAGTGGGGTTTGGGATGGAGGCTGATAGCTCGCGACCCCCCATATAATAACCTTGCAACCCCTTGGGGGGTCCCGACCCCCAGTTTGAGAATCCCTGCTCTAGCAATTATTTTGGGGAAGTTTAGTGATCTGTATTCAGTGGCCTGGATCTGAATGTCTTGTATCTGAATATGTTCCTCCTCTTCAGACTAAATGTTGGCTGTCACAGAAGGCAATTGAGGGTGATAATTAGCTTCCATAGCCAAATCTGAGCTCCTCAGATTCGGAAAAGGTAATTGTAGTGAGGGGGCCTGGCCTCCTCCAAGACTGACAGGGAGGAACCACTCTCCATCCCCTGGTAGGCAGAGCCAGGCAAGCCATGCCCACCCTGCTGGAAGCAGAGGGGTGGGACAGGAAGTTTAAAAGGCAGGCCCTGCAGCTCAGTTGCTCAAGAGCCAGAGAAGGAAGCAGACGTTGTTCATCTGCTGCCGAGCCCTGTGCCTGAAACGGAGCTCTGCTGCACTGAGGACCCAGAGGAGATGGCAGGACTGCTGACAGGCCAGGACCCAGAGGAGCTACTGGGACTGCCACTGGCTGTGTACCTCAGGGAGACGGAGGAATCCCAGGAGACATAAGTACATGCCAAAGGGGTAGTAGGAAGTAGCAGAGGGACACCAGATGATAGTTCGGTTGTGTTGGCAGAATTCAGGTCAGCGTGTTTCGGCCAGGTCCTCACTGACCCAGTGGCAGAACTATCTGCCACTGTTGGGGCCATGGGCTAGGACCCTGTGGAGTAGGGTGGGTCTGGGTCTCCCTACCCTCTGCAGCTGCCCCACCCCTGGGGTGGCTGCCTACCCACCTTAGGCCAAGAGGCCTGTGTTTGCCTGCTGCCTGCCTGAGCCAGGAGGGCAAGCAATAGACTGCTTCTTGCTCTGCCCTTCCCAGTGGGTCAGAGCCCTGAGACTGCCTCTTTCTCTGTTCCACCCAGAGGGCCAGAGTCCTGAGACTGCTAATTCTCCATTGAGCCTTGCCTTAATAGATATGTGGTAGTAAGAGGGTATGACCTTCCCTCCAAGACTGATGGGGAGGGATGGCCTACAGTAATTATGGACATCCTTTGTGTGGTCTCTTGGAAGGAAGCAAGGCATCCAGAATGTGCATCTGATGCTGAAAACCCGTCCGGACAGGAGACATGTTTGAATCCAGGTTTCCTCTTCAGAACCACCATTTGAATTCTTCCATTAAAATTCTTACTTTAAAACTAAACTACCCTAATGGTCTACACTATAAATTAATTGCTATCCTTAGCTCTACCTGCAGAACTACGTGAGGGGTTTTAGCATCTGTATTAATGGTCCGGAGAGATTCGGAGTCTGTGGCTGCAGGTGTTGAAAGGAAACCAGGTGGCTGTGGATCTCTGTACTCCATTTTATAGCCTGACCCTTAGACTGTTCAGGAATCAGGGAAGGATGGGTAAGACGGGGTGTGTCAGCTCTCCAATGGGCACTGCAAGTTAGGTTTCTCCATCAGAGCTGCTTGGCCAATACATCCCATGAGTGAGAGATGCAGAGGCTACTCGAAGGAGAACTTTTCTTTTCTTTTAGAGATTGATATCTTATTATACTGTACCTTTTTGGTATACAAGAGTTTTTTTCTTTCTCAGGTGTACAGTGACCTCACCTTTTGAAGTTTAATGCTTCAAGATTCTTCATGGTCATTTTCCACCTGAGTTAGGCTACCTGTGATAGGGTATATAAACCACACACTGGGCTGGAAGGGGTTAAAGGACAATACTGGGCCCAGGTAGCTCTGTCCCTCCAGCCTGCAGAGCATGCTCCAACTGGAGATGGGGTTGAAAAGGGAGCAGCACAGCTCAGAAGGGGGAAGATGGGGGAGAAGGATAGACCTACTCTGAAGGCTTCTGACAAGAGTGCCAGAGAAGCTTCCCTGAGGGAAGTGAAAATATATGCTCAACTCGGTTGGGACAGATGGTTTGGTTATCCTTTCTTTTTCTTTTCTCCTTATCTGGAACTGAAGGTGGGGAGAGAAAAGCAGTGATAGGAAGTGACCCAGGGAGGGTGACTCAGAGGGCACCTTTGGGAGGGCCAGATATCGTTGACCCTCCTTGGGCCCAGGGTTGGTTCCCAGTGGGGTGGGCAGGCCAAGGCTCCCCTACCCCTGCCCTTACTACAGGAGGGACTTGAACTACCTGTGCTCCTCACTGCACCTCTGAGCAAAGGGCAACCAGGACTGTAAGACTGGCCCACTGTGGAGGGAGGGATGGGCCCTAGGTGCACTAACCACTAGGCCACTAACCCACAAAGGACTCTATTACACTACCTTTACCTTTACTGTATCTAGAGGTTTGTTAATTATATACAAATTTCCCTAAGAGCTAGTGGTTTGTTCACCTATGCTATTCTCCTTAGGATCTCCCCATAGGATCTGCTCATTGTGGTGTGTATGATTCCACTTTTGTATTCATTTAAAGTTAAATGTTTTTTGTAAGAAGTGTCTTTAAGACAACTGAAAACAGTTGCTGAGGAACATCTCACTTTCAGTAATCTTTATTTCATTTGTAACTCAAAATCTCAAAGACTAACTTGTGAACTCAGAAAGAAAGAAAGAAATGGTTGTAAAATTTCCCAGTATACATCTGTAGTTTTAAAAAAATCTTACTACGCTTAGCATAGTTATGTTATTGGAGCAAATTAGAAAAACAGAAAATCTGTGTCTGCTACCATTTTTAATCTGTCTCTGGGTATTCGGATATATATCATGTTTCCCTGTGTTGTGACTCTTTGCCCCTTGTCCTGAGACTACAAGAAGTTATAGCCTATAATCCAAACAAAAGTTATTCATTTCACAATAAAGTAATAGTAAAGTTAGGCTTATTATCATGTGTTGTGTGTGTATATATTTCTGGATAAACAACTATGTGTGACTTTCTTTTAACTCATTCAAATCAGGGACGGCACGAACATGAAAGGGCTATTCAAGTTCAAGCTGTAAATTTGTAAAACATTTCTTATTGCCAGTTGAGCCTGATACAAAGTCTCAGAAGTTTTTTAATGTAGCAGTGAAACTATGGACCAAATTCTTCAGCCTTTGTTCAGGCAAGATTCTCAATAAAGTCAAATATTGTCTTTAAATTTGTACCCATCAACAGCTACAGTAGCAGTAAGTGAAAAATACGAAGTCCATCAGCACAGTCCAGTCACCCTGCAGAAACTCTTCTGTTTTTTTATTCCATCTATTTTGCCAGTTCTTTTGTCCAGTGTTGGGTAAAGGTCTCTTGATACCTTCCTTGTCCATCATACTGATTATTATGGCTGGAACTCTGCCACACTTGGAAAGCGCAAGTACATTTCCATGCTACTGTGGGTTGAAGCTGTAACCCCTAATTATATCTGAGTATTTATAACAGATTTATTACTGATGACTATGACATCTCCAGTTTTATCAGATATGTAATATGTAGACACACTTAAAATTGCTGAAGGGGTGGATGGGCGTGTGTGTGTGTTGGAGAGTTTTTGATTAGATTTTATTTTCAAGATTGCAAGTAATAATTATGTAATGAGGTTTAATGCACCATATTGATCTCTACTGGTTATGTTTATTGCAGGAATACAACTGTATTTAAACCTGTTACCTGGAGTGCATAGTGGAAGAGATGAAAGTGTTGAAATTCTGAAGAAAGGCAACTTATTGGGTGTCGCACCAGGTGGAGGTCGAGAAGCATTCTTTAGTGATGAAAACTACAACCTCCTGTGGGGTAATCGCAAAGGCTTTGCTCAAGTGGCCATAGATGCAAAAGTGGTGAGTGGTTTCTTGTGTGTGTATATAAATATGTTTAACCCACTGATCACTGTGTGTTACATACCCATCTCTGTGCCCAAGCCACAAAGAATGTGAGTCTATTACAGCTGCTAGCTACAGAGACTAGCTCTTTAACTGAAGCTTTCAATATTTATGCTTTTCGCTCTGAAAGGCCCTGATTCAATCCCCCAGATGGTAGCCATCACATTAGCACATATGTATACTCTACAACACAGGGATCCAAAGATCAATCATGTAATTCTGATTTCAAGTATGTTTTGTAAAATGGATCCTCTTTCTGGGATTATAAAATGTGACCTAAGAAGGTTCAAAATCAATTATTTTTATATTAACAGGATTATTATAGTCTAATGTCAAATATAAGAATAGCAATCTTGTGAGACTGTGTACTTAAGGGATAATATAGATGACTTTGGTTTTAAGATTAATGGTCTCCAGTTAAGTAGCCTCTTATTTATTTGTAAAAAAGCTATTGTCGTATTTTGTTATGGTTTTTAACTTGAGTCCATTCTAGTTTTGTTTAACTTTTTAACCAAAGAATTAGACTGGATTTATCAGAACACTTTTAAACAAAAACCGACATTAAAACACTTAATCTATTGTAATCCCATAACAGTGTGAAGTGTCAGCAGAAGATATTTTCTGTAAACCAGATTATTGTATATAAAAGAAATAAAATGAATCTCCCCTAAAAAAGGAATAGTATTGAGAGACTTACTTTGTGTGCTTCAAGCAGCATTTCTCCAAGATTTCAGCCTAGGACATACACTGAGGCTATTCAATGACTTGGCTATGGCCTGAAGGCCCTATTGTAGTAGAGAGAGTGAGCCTGGAGCACTGGGCCTGGTGCAAGATCTGAGGCCTGTACTACAGGCTGTGAATGAAAGTTAGGCTTCTCCCATCGACATAGCTACTGCCTCTTCCAGAGGTGGATTAACTACACTGATGGGAGAAGCTCTCCCGTTGGTGTAGTAGAGTTTTCACTAAAGTGCTACAGCAGCACACCGGCCTCGCTGTACGTGTAGCCAAGCCCAGAGATATTGGATTTATGGCTTATTACAGCAATCTGTAATGCACTAACATCCTCTTTTTGTCCTGTGACTGCAGAGGTGTTAGCGGGCCACTTTGCCTTGAATGGTCCCTTACAATATGTGCTAACTACTTACGCTAAACAATCTGTTCCACCTTGCATTTTGCTGTAGTGCTGGGAATACCTTTCCCAGACCTGAAGAAGAGTTCTGTGTGTCTCAAAACCTTGTCTCTCTCACCAACAGAAGTTGGTCCAATAAAAGATATTACCTCATCCACCCTGTCTCCCCAATGGGATAAAACAGTTTGTTAATTTTCCCTTTGATCTGGTCTACATTACAACTGCATTGCTCAGGGGTGTGAAAAATCCACACCCCTGAGTGGCGTAGTTATACCAACCTACCCCTGGGTGTAGACAGTGCTATGTCGGTGGGAGAGCTTCTCCTGCCATTCAGGGAGGTGGATTAACTACAGTCTCTCCAATTGGTGTAGCGCATCTTCATTAAAGCGCTACAGCATTAGTAGTTGCATCAGTGCAGCTGCATCAATGCAGCATTTTAACTGTCGACTTGCCCTGAGATCCTAACCCACATGTCAAAGGTATTTTTTTATATAGGACTTTAATTGGGTCCTTGAACTAAAGATAGCTTAACTATTTAAAAAAAAAGTAGGGAAATATGAAAAAGAATACCCAAAAGCTAGCACTGAACTGCAATTAGTGATGTTATGGTGCAAGCTACATTCTAGAGAGAGATTATAATTTTACTGAGATAGATTCTATTCATGCTCCAGAACATAGTTTATGTATACATACCATTAAAGTGAGTGTGTGTGTCTGTGTATAAAAATATGATGAATAAGGTTGGTATTGACAATATTATTGTATCAAAACATGCCTTTGTGTGGGCTATTGTAGAAGCAGTGGAGAGCTTCAACATGGAGAATTCTTGTTTTTCCATCTCAAAAATTTAAAGGGTTAGTACTAACACTTTTTAGTGGAAGGGACTAAAATAATTTCTTAAAGGGCCCATTTTTAATTTCTCATTCTATAAATTCTCAGATTGTGTTTTCTGAGTCTTCAAGTCAATCTTCAGTCACAGTTACATACTATAAATTTGGGAGTTCTTCATACAAAGCAAACGGGTTGAATCCTTGCTTTAAATGGAAAACTGAGTAGATGTCCTACTGTCTGTGTCTCCATAATATAGATTCTGTCATACTCCTATAAGACTGTTGTCCCTGAAATTACTGCTACATAAGTAGTGCAGTGTGGAAGAAGACTTAGAAAACATAATTTGGCATTACCTGAAAATACAGAATTATTGACAGAAAATTATAAATGATACCAAAAACATTAATGGACTGAGAAATGGTAAGTTCTCCCTGCAGGAGGCACGTTTAGGAATAAACAATAGCAACTTAAATGGAAAATCTCAAAACTTTTCTTAAAAATTTTGGCTCAGATCTTGGGCTGTATCTGATCTGTGCTCAGTACATCTCAACATGGGAGGTGCAAAAGTAGATTTGTCACCTTTGCACTCTCCTGACCCTGGGGCTACTGGGCCTCAGTGTTGGTGATGCTTTGAGGATGCTCTATTTTAAGTAGGCTGCCCTTGGCCTCAAGGGACCATAATGGCAACCATGGATCTCCAGGGTGTAGACACCCCCTGGTCATGCTTCCTTTTCCCCAGCTACTCCTCCTCCCCCATGCTGGGGGTTGGAGAAGAAGGTGTAATGAGAGCTGCTCTGATGTCTCTGGGTCACTTCATAGGCAGAGGAACTCCACATGTGGCTGGTTAAGCCAGCTTTAGGAAGAACTGGTGCAAAAGAGGATTGGTCCTGTTCTTTCTAGCAGGCAAATATACTATAGTAAGAACATGGAAGTTAAGAGTCTCCTCCCACCTTGTAGTGACTGGTTATGCACCACAGGACATGTGATGGAAATGGAGCAATGGACTTTTAACTTTAAATTTTTGAAAAGATTGTAGATTCCCTTCTTAAATTATGTGGTAGAAAATCCGCAAACCCCAAAAGAGGGAAGGGGACAAAGTGATTATTTTAACTGTAAATTGGACTAATTTAAATTCAATATTATATCAGTGGAGTAGAATGAAGAATTCTTCAGGTGTACGGTTGTTTTATGATGTACAAAAGTAGGTTGTCACAAGGTGCCTCTTCAGCTACCCAGTGGACTGTTTTCATGGTCTCTGTCAGAAACTCACTCATGCTGTTTCCCTTTCACCATGTGTACATTTATTCTTCAGTTCCTAAGCAAAACAGAACATGACACGGATATCCAGCAGGAGGAGACTGACACACAGCCTTCTCTTCTCCTCATGGTCACTCTCTGAGCTCCCATGCTTCCTGTTACTCCTAGGTACTGAGCCAATTGTATCATTAGCCCAACAGTTAGCACCCAGGTGTCAGTAATCCTCCCACCAGAAATGGGTTATTGGCTTTCAGTTAAGTCAGCAGCCTTCTCTGTGCTGCAGCAACCTCCGTGATCAGGGTGCTATGGGTAGCATTTTGTCACGTAGGTGTTACAATATCCAGCATACGGTATTCTGGCTTATATTTTTACTGCAGCTTTGTTTGACTAATGAAGAATAGAGCTGTTATAACAGAAGAAAGGCGAAGAGCATGATTAATGCACAAGTTCAATGTGTCTTGGAAATATAAAACGTGGTCCAAGGAACATCATCCTTCCTCTCTGTTATTAGTCAAATTTCTATCAACTGTATAGATATGACTTGAAAGAGATACATTTTAAAGAAATAAAAGCAGAAGGAAAGAAGGAGAAGTCAGCTTAGCTGTCTCCACTAGGGGCTGCTGCTTCAAAAGAAGAGGAAAGGAAACGGGAGCTGCTTTCTTTGACCAAAGCTACCAGCAGGAGTGGAACTGCAGGCAGGAGAGGACCTGGAAGCTGAAAAATAGGACTCAAGCCATCAGTGGTAGAACAGTGGTAGAACAGAGCCAGGCAATATCTGCAGGAGAGAGGGGGACAAGATGTTATACTGAGTGAGAAAAGAAGGTGACCTAATGCCAGAGAAGCCTAGTCCGGATGAGTGAGAGATTTGGAACAGACCGCATGATGACAAGATTAAATGAAAAGCATGTTCAGATAGTGTGACTTTTAAAAAAAATTAAATAGTTTAAAAATATTACTGATGTTACTTTTCCCTCTAAGCAGTTGTTGTAGGGATGTTGCACAAGAAATACACTCTCTGTTAAGTTGTGGGCTACGCTATAAAAAAGTTTAAGAACCCCTGCTCTGATTCATATCTCTGATAAACCTCTTGGGATAGGAACTGAAGGGGAAGCAAAGTTCTATACCATGCCTGTACCTGGTTGGCACTCGATCTATAATAACAATAATGAAGACACTGTCGCAACATAAGATTTAGGAAGAACCTCTGCTGTGACGTGATGTGACCTATACTAGCTCAATATGTGCTTCAGAGAGACAATAATCTGCATCATATTTGAGGGGAAATAATTTTCTGAGAAATTACAACTTCCTAAAACTATTTAGTATTAAAGGCATTAGAAAGGAAACATTTAGTTACACATGATCATCCTTTCTTGTCCCTTGCCCCAAGATTTGCAGGTGTTTCATAGTACATTGATAGTCTGTTTTCTATAGAACTTTTGAAAGATTTGGTTACCAAAATAATATATGTCTGGATGATTTTTGGCTAACTCAGTAACTCTGACTTCTTAGGCACTGAAAAAAATTGCTGAACAAACTCATGAAACTGAAAATTATGATATTTGTGGAATTATTTTTTCTGCTTCTAAATGTTATCCTGTCAGTGTTGTTTTGGTGTTCATCCTGATAATAGCAACATGTGACATAGGTTCTAAGAACCCTCAGAAAATGGAGCCTCACCTGGTACATAACTAGCTGTAGTTTTTCCTGACAAACATGTGACTCCTTTTGAGTTTCTAGTCATGATAACTTATCAGTTTCATTTTGATTTAATAGGATGCCTATAACCACATGATATAGATGCAATATTTAAATACAAAAACTGAGGTTGAACTATTGTCCAAAGTCTTACCACTTCTTTTTCCTTATTTCTTAGCCCATCATCCCTTTGTTTACACAGAATATTCGGGAAGGATATAGGACATTTGGAAAAATAGGTAAGATTTACTTCATATGTAGCTTTTCACGTTCTTAGAGTTTTCTTTTATTTATATTTTCAAAACCAACTGTTTCTGGGAAATACTCGTCTTGTGAATTTCTTTTTAATCTTTTGTTCGCTTTTAATTCTGGAACTGTTTCTTTGTGATGTAAACTGAAGTCCAAATTGGTTAGCTAATGTGATTATGCATTTATTAGACTAAACATTAATTGTTCTCTACATGGTGACCCATCTTAACATGATAATGAATATGCAGGAGGCAATGTAAGAGTAGATAATTATTTTCAAGATTATTTGCCTTGCATATTGTTTGATGTACTTTATGTAGCCTTTCATCAAACACCCATATAATTTAAAATTTGTTAGTTGCAATCCAGAATCATTTTGATTCAGGGACTCTGCTGGCTTCTAAGGTTGTCCCTCAAAATGTAACACCACCCCGTCCCACCTTTTTTTTTAATTCACAGGGTTTTTTAGGTGGTTCTATGAACGTTCTCGATTGCCACTCATTCCTGTATATGGAGGGTTCCCAGTCAAACTTCGCACATATATTGGAGATCCCATTCTATATGATCCAAATATAACAGCTACAGAACTAGTTGAAAAGGTAAGTTGGGTGTTCTCTTTGAAACTTTCGGGAGTCTAAAGTCTTAGTTTAAATGATGTTAGTTAAGTCTGTAGTATCTGACATTAAATTCCATGTCTATTGGTTTCTTATGAAGTAAAACTTTCTTACAGTACATCAGCCATCTTACATAGTGTAACATATCTCTGGCTGAAATATCATTTTCTCCTGACCCTGTTAGATTCCTCCACAGATTTGTGCATTGTTCTAAACTCGTCACCGTCCTCCCTGGCCCTCTCCCTCAATACTTTACACCAGAGGTTTCTGGACTGTGTTCTGTGGACCACTTGCTGTTGATCTGTGATGAGCTGGCTGATCACAAGGTCCTGGCTGTGCTCCTTGTTTCCAGATGGTAATCTGTCTTAAAAGAAGCTAAAATACATTACATTATTTAAACTTAAGTAAATTAATAACTTTTAGAAATGCCCACACAAGGCTCTGGTGCCCTAACACATACTTAATATTACAACAAAACCTCAGCAGCATTAAAACAATCTTTCAGAGAAGAACTCTCCCAGCCAGCCACCCACAGAAGAGCTTCTTTCCACACATTCATAGTTCCAGAGCGTAAACTTCAGCCCGCGCCAAAAACCCCATCTAACAGATGTTTGGCAGCTATTTAGAGCAAGTTCTAAAATCTTAGAGCCCTCACAGAGAGTGTCCTGCTATCCGCTACTCTCTCCCTTCTAGTGAAGGGGATTCAGCTTGAGTGCCTCTGGTGACCACAGCTGTGGCACGGTGGCACGGAGAGAGAGGCAGTTCCTCAGGTAGGCAGGTCACAGGCTATTTAAGGCTTCCAAAGTCCTAACCAACACTTTAAATCTCACCAGAGACCATTACACAAATCCCAGGGCACAGATGGCATGCGTTCCCAGAATGATGTCACTGTGTTCTGCCCTACTGTTCCTCTCTGAATGCTTTTAATGTGTAGCTCTAAAGATAGCACATTGCAAAAATCTAATCTTGGGTAATAAGGGTGCAAATGGCGGAGGTGGGTCTTTAAAGGATACAAGGTCCTAATCAGACAAAGAAGGTAAAAAGCTGACTGGGTTACTGCTGTCATATTATTGTCCAACAGTAGCTGAGTGTCTGCAATCACTCCTAAGTTTTCGTGGGCTAGATCCCACGTCATCAGATGCATGGAGTGGAAAATACAGGAGCAGGTATAAATACATGAAAGGATGGGAGTTGCCTTACCAAGGCCTAGTCTTCACTTACTGGCTGGTCCGGCGGCACGCCATCGATGTTCTGGGATCGATTTATCGCGTCTGGTTAAGACGCGATAAATCGATCCCGGATCGATCCCGGAAGTGCTCACAGTCGGCGCCGGTACTCCTGCTCGCCGAGAGGAGTACGCGGCGTCGACGGGGGGAGACTTCCGGCCGCGTCTGGACCGCGGTAAGTTCGGACTAAGGTACTTCGAATTCAGCTACGTTATTAACGTAGCTGAATTTGCGTACCTTAGTCCGAAGTCCGGACTAAGTGGGGACCAGGCCCAAGTGTGAGGTCAGTCTAACGAGACAATTCAATTAACAGCAGGATACCAAGGAATGAAAAATAACTTTTGAAGTTGTAATGAGTAGTGTCAACTGTCTGAAATGGGCCACTCTTTTTTTCCCCAAAGACATTTTTCTGTGGCACGTTAAGTTTGTTTTGCAATAGAAATGACAGGTATCTATAGTCGTCACTTCCCTTTCTTTGGTATTGGAACTGACTAGTGATGTCTCACAAGGCTGTATCCTAAACTGAAACTCTTCAAACACAATCTAGCCTTTGTTTGATTTATGGGAGAGAGGAACAGAGGGAATAACCATTTGTGGGTAGTCTCAGGGACTATTTGGAGGGAAACAGAGATTTATCTCAGGATATCACATAAGGCTGCAGTACTAATTTAATCTTACAGTGATTTTTATCAAGTTCTCCTGTAAAGAAGAATGGAAAAGTCTATTTCTAATGAAAAATATATGGAAATAAAATCCCTGAGGCTGGTTAATTTACTTATCCTAAAGGAGCAATGTTTCAGGGCAATGCTCTGTTCCTGTCCTCTGCTGCCCCAGAAACTGGTCACACCCACTTTCTTTTAGAGTTCAGTCTGTATTTTATTACAAACCCTTCTCCCAACTACAGTGCAACATTGGGGGAGGGATAGCTCAGTGGTTTGAGCATTGGCCTGCTAAACCCAGGGTTGTGAGTTCAATCCTTGAGGGGGCCACTTAGGGATCTGGGGCAAAATCAGTACTTGGTCCTGCTAGTGAAGGCAGGGGGCTGGACTCGATGACCTTTCAAGGTCCCTTCCAGTTCTAGGAGATGGGATATCTCCATTAATTAATTAATTAATTTATCACAGTTTTAAATTCCTACAGTTTTTAGTCCCTCTTTACCAGGACCCCAGGAAATGAGACCTTCCTGTTTTGGGAGCTGTTTCAGTCTGACTCAGCTAGTCCAGTCTTCCCCTCTTGTAACACTTCCTTTCTGGTTTATCAGGTTAGCCAACTGAGGCCTAATTAGTTCCTTGCCTCCCCAGCATAGCTTTCTGATTAGCTACTTGCTCAATCAGCCATCACTGGGAAACTAATTCAGGCTACAGTGATCAGAGTGCTGACCCACCTGTCAGGCCTCAGCGCTCTGTCACAAGAAACTAATAGCAGAAAGGTCTCACATTGCAGGCCATCTTGAAATATGTAAACTCAAAGGTAGTTTCTCTTGATTTTTTTTTAAATGGAAAATAAATCAAAGAAAATATATTAATACAACATGAAATTAAAGACAGAAAAGGTCGATATTTGCACAGTGACTTGAGGAGATCTTCAAAGAGACAAAAGGGAATTAGATGCCAGTTCCCATTGACTTCCATGGACTGCCCTTTGTGCCTTTTGAAAGTCTGTCCTTGAATCTGTACTACACACATTATAGTCAAGTCCTACTCTTCAGCCTCCTAAACACTAAATACCTCACAGAGCCCTTCAAAATGTGTAACAAGGACCCACACTCCAGTCACTTTTTCCCTTGCATGGACACATACAAAATAGAGACAAGGTGAGTGAAGTAATATCTTTTATTGGACCAACGTCTGCTGGTGAAAGAGACAAACTTTTGAGCTACACACAGCTCTTTTTCAGGTCTGGGAAAGGTACTCAGGGTGTCACCGCCTAATAGAAGGTGGAGCAGATTGTTAAGCATAAGAAGTTAACATATGTCGCAAGAGACCATTCAAGATGCGGTGGACAATTACCATATCTGCAGTCTTAGGACAAAGGAGAGTTAGTTTGGTCATAGATTGTGTTAATGAGACATCAAACCAACATCTCTGTTGAGTCCATGATTTTTAGTGTCTAGCAAGGTTATGAATTTAAGCTCCCAGTCTCGTCTTTTGAAGATGTTATGCAGGTTTTGATTTTCCTTTGATACAAGGACAGAGAGGTCAGATATGGAGTTGATCATTTCAGGAAAAGTGTTCGCCCGTGGGTGATTAGGGTATTTTTTCTTTTATTATTGGGATCAACAGAGTTACAACAACACTACATACAAGATATATAGTTATATATCTGCAAATGATAAATGTTATGAGACAGATCCTCAGCTGGTATGAATTGGCTGAGGTTCTGGCCTTACTGGAGCCCTGTGGGGATTAATGCTACTATCAGAAATGTTTTTCATTTCCTGATTCCCATCCATTTAAATAATTTAGAAAATCTTGGCCAATATATATGCCTAATCTTAGGCTCACTAATCCATAGTTAGGTGCCTAAATAAATAATCTGATTCTTTCCACAAGTGTTGAACACCCAACTAAAACATGTTTTTGGATGCTGAGGGGAAGCTGTTGTGTCACTTTGGGTGGAATAAGTGGGCCCAGAGAACTGGAGGTGTTTACATGACTGTCATTATACAACATGAACTATTTTAAACAAGGTTTGGGGTCTTGAGTACAGAGACCTCAGGCTGCTTAGTTATTGTGGAAAACACACTAGAAAACTCATGGCAAAGGCTGGAAATGTATTGACTGAGATACCCAAAAGGAAAAGAATCAAAACAAGGCAAAAAGCATTGAAATTAAGTGATTATGCAAAACAAACAATCCTTTTTTCAGAGATAAAGAATAAGGGTTTGAGTCTCTTGCTCTGTCAGCCCATCTTGGTGGGGAAGAGTTAGTTTTGCTGTTGACAAAATAGACACAGGAGGAGATGTGATGGGATTGTAAAAGTTGGGGGAAATATGGCTTTTGTTGATGTTCTCAGGACACAAAGAGGCTAGTCAGGGATATCATCTGGTTGGTCTGGTCAGGTCCCTTACCTCTGCTAGTCCTTCTCTGACTGGCAGAGCTGGATGGACCGTCTCACCTTGTTGTGCTGGGGCTGTGTGGTGCTTTTGGTCTCTGGATTAGGCAGAAAGCTGAGAGAGAGGACAGTAGTTAGTTTTGAGGGACAGGATGGGACACACAAGAGACAGGAGGACAGAGTTGGATCTCATATGTATCAAGTTGGGGCCCTTGCTGGGGCAGTGTGTTGGTTAAGCCTCCCAATTGATGTGCCAAGGTCCACGTCACAATGAAAATCCCCCAGCAGCAGCGGCAGTAGTGCAAATGGTTTTTCCTGTCCCTCACAAAGTCTCTCTTTAAAAGGACCCCAAAAGGGGGTGATGGGCAGAATAGACCATCCTTTTTTTATTTTGTCCACCAGTTAGGATTAATTTCTGAAGTACCAATTTTGGTCCATTGAGTTCCAGTCCCATACTCCTCTTGTTTACCAGACCTGATTTTAAGCACAGTCCTTGGGTGGTATCAGTAGATCCTCTCTGTTTAATTCAGATGTCTCCTTTTTCCTTCTTAAATAAAGTTCTATAGAAGGTGATTGTGACAGTTATGAACTTTTACCCATTTTCCATAAATTAAGCCCATAATTAGAGAAGGCCCTCTGGGCCCTAATCATTACAACAGAGCAAGGGAAAGGGTCTAGGCTGAATATTTATCAGATTTTAGTCTGAGCAAAATTACAGTGGATGAGATTTAACATGCCCGAAAAAACAGGCTTTTACATCCTGAACCTCCCATTTTATTTAATGATTTGATGCATATTTTAATGACTAGTAAACATTTAAAATAGGGTTTGAAAAGGTAATAGCTGTTTTTGTAGGGGGCAACTGCTTTCTAAACCTTGCAGCAGAGGTTTTACATTGGAATAGGATTTCCGCAGTGATAGCTTAGTTAAAAGATCATTACAACAACTCCAATTGAAAAAACTGTCAAACTTAAATATGAAATTATATCAAGTCACACTTACAGTTTAAGGGCTCAAACCTGCAAATACAAGTGAATAATTTCAATAAAATATGTAGTCCTATTGAAGTTAATGAAACTAATCTCCTGAGTTATTCATGTGCCTCAGGGTTTGCAAGATGGAGTGGTAGTGAGCTAACATTTCCATGGCACTATTGCATATGTAGATCTAGCTATTCTGTATGCTTGGTTATCACAGGGAAAAATACACTGGTGTGTGGGAATGAGACTATCCCTCAGCATGGTCTTCATGGGATCTTGTGAAGGATTTACCCTTCCTGCCCTCTCCTCCCCCAACGTTTTCCACTGAGTTTTATGTATACCTTTAGCATCCTTGGGAAAACTAGAAGAGAATGATGATTGAAGTAATCATTCTTGAAATATAAAAGGTTTCCCCCTCTTTCTTTCTCTTAACAGACAAAGATTGCCATTGAAACGCTAAGAGACAGACACCAAGAACTACCAGGAAGTATACTAAGAGCTCTGTTGGAACGATTTGATAAACATCAGAAAGAAGACTAGTGTATTTAAATATTGTTGTTAAATATTAAAAACTGTTACTGTAACTTGTGGGAAGAAAAATATAGTTTTCTTAAAAGTACAAGAGACTGCAAACTACATGTATCAAATATTCAATCATATCACTGCCTTAAAATCTCTCTCTCTCTCATCTGGTCTGGCAACTTCAATCCAAATAATAAAAGAAAAGGAAATTAAGAGGTTCATTATCCTGAGAGAAATTGATTAGAGATTGTTAAACCAGATGACAGCAGACATTATTCTCATATAAAAGTTAGACCTTGTGTATCATTAGGAGCACACAGGGTGAGCTGATTATAGAGGAAGTCGACATTAGAAAATTTTGGTGTTTGGTCTGTTTCCAATTGTTGATAGGAGAAAAACAGCCCATATCCAGACCAGATGAGAGAGAGAGAAATGTTGAGACATTTTGGCTATAACACACTTATAACTGTATTTTAATATCTAATAAAGGTGCAAATAAATTTAGAAATGGCTAAAAAAGTTATGCTTTTATCACTATTGCCTTTGCATTAATGTTGAGATTTTTCCCTTACAATTTTTTCCTTTGAACAAAAAGCATTTTATTAATTTTTAAAAATTGCAATTGAATTATTGAGATAATCTATCAGTACATATACAGTAACTCCTCGCTTAACGTTGTAGTTATGTTCCTGAAAAATGCGACTTTAAGCGAAACGATGTTAAGCAAATCCAATTTCCCCATAAGAATTAATGTAAATAGGAGGGGTTAGGTTCCAGGGATTCTGTACACAGCAATGATGATTGTGAAGCTTGGTTGAGGTGGTGGAGTCAGAGGGTGGGATATTTCCCAGGGAATGCCTTACTGCTAAATGATGAACCAGTACTCGGCTGAGGCCTCAAGGGTTAACACATTGTTGTTAATGTAGCCTCACACTCTACAAGGCAGCACAAATGGAGGGAGAGGCGACACATGGCAGACAGAGACAGAGACACACACCCTGTGTGAGAGAGAGAGATTCGCATTGCCCCTTTAAGTACGCTGAACCCCCTTTAAGTACACTGCCTTTTTAAGTAGATCAGCAAGTTGAGACAGCAGCTGCTGTGAGCAAGTTCCCTCTGTCCTGAGCCCTGTCATGTCCCCCCTGCTCTATGGAGATGGCGTAAGTGGGGGGTGGGAGCAGGGGGACACCCTGACATTAGCTCCCCTCTTCCCCCGCCCCCTGCACAGCAAGCAGGAGGCTCCCGAGAGCAGCTCCAAAGCAGAGGGCAGGAGTAGCACATGGCAGTGGAGGGAGGGACAGCTGAACTGCCAGCAATTGATAGCCTGCTGGGCAGCTGCCGCACAGGGAACTTAGGGGAGCGGGGAGCTGATGGGGGGGCTGCCAGTCCACCCTGGTTCCAAGCCCCCACCAGCTCGCTCCAACGGGCTGCTCTTTCTGCAACCAGTGGATAAAGCAGGCAGCTGCCAAACAACATTATAAGGAAGCATTGCGCAACTTTAAATGAGCATGTTCCCTAATTGATCAGCGACGTAACAACAAAACAACGTTAACTGGGATGACTTTAAGTGAGGAGTTACTGTATTTAGATCTGAGGCCTTTTTGAGCTCTGCAAAAAAAAAATGTGGTATTATGGTTATAACCCAACCATAATATTTAAATAGTGTGATACCACTCTTGTTAAAAATAAATTATAATTGAGTATAAAATTGACTTTTGTTGAAAATAAAAAAAATTAGTCATGCGACAACACAGAACATAAGACAACATACATGACATATAGGACAAACTTACAAATAAAGAAAAATGGTGTCAAAATGGTATTTAAGCCCTGAACCCCTCATTTTTGACCCCACCCCAGAACCCGCACCCCCAGCCAGAGCCCTCACACCCTACCACACCCCAGCCCCCTGAGCCAGCCCGGTGAAAATGAGCAAGTGATTGAGGGTGGGGAGAATGAGCGACAGACGGAGGGGGAATGGAGTGAGCAGGGGGCGGGGGCCTCTGAGAAAGGGTGGGGCATGGGCAGGGCCTCTGAGGAGGGGCGGGGGGGGCAAGGGTGTTAAGTTTTGTGTCAGTAGAAAGTTGGCAACCCTACTCCCTAGTGCCCCAACACACTAGAACCTTCCCTGCCCTCTCACAACCCAGCACCCCCCCGAGAGACCCATTCCCCCATGCTCTGCCTCCTGGCCGCACTCACTGGCCCTGCTGGGGGGCGACTGTGTCTGCCGGGCTGAGCCAGCAATGCAGCCAGAGCTGGTCTCAGGGCGGGGAATCGCTCCATTCCCTTGAGAGTGGTGGGATCAGCCAGGCCAGGGCCTGTCCCGGCTGGCCCCCCTCAGGACCCACTTGCCTGGAGGGGTCCAGCCAAGCCCCCTAAACTTTCACTCCCTCCCCCAGCTGAGACTGGCCAGGCTTCTGCACCAGTCCCAAGCGGCTCAGCTCCGGAGAGACGGGTGGGGCCCCACAGGTGGTGGGAAGCAGAGACCTCTGCCAGGGGGCAGAGGAGCTGGCGGGTGGAACCAGGGGGTGGAGAGGAGCCAGCTGGCAGGCAGGCCGAGAGGAGAAAGTGGTGGTGATGGGGAGCTAGTGGGGTCTCGGGGCGCAGTGCAAGTGAAACAGGCCAGGACTCCTTCTGGGCATGGGCCCAACTCCATGGAGCCACTGGCGCCATTGTAAACCCAGCACTGACCACTATAAGAAATTTGCATTAAATACCACCAGTGATTTGAGTTCTTCCATTAAGCCAGGAATGCAATCACTAGCCAGCCCATACAAATTCATGTAACATTTATAAATTTGATATAATAGTCTTTTAATATTCTGTGTGTCCACAGCATCTCCCATATTTCAACAACAGTCTTTGAATGGTCCATATTTCCAAAGCATTGCATTTGTTACACTCCCACTGACTTGTATGGGAACAAGATCACGCCCTAAATACGTCCCAGCTACACCCATAAGAAAGATGGCTACGCTTTGTTTGGCTGAACAAGTAGCTGTGATGTCAGATTTGATAAAGAAAAATAAGACAGCAGCTGTTGCTTACAATTCATTATAAAATTATTATAGATGAAAGAATTTACAAGCTACAACAACTATTCCATTCTCAATAACAAACATAAATAAAAAGGAGGGCAAGTTGATACATGACGTAAAACTCCTTTTATATGGATAAAGATGATGGCTACAGATCAGCAAAGGGATGCATTCGAAGCTTCTGCCTGTAACCTTATTTAAGGATATCTCATCTTGTCCTGTTCCATCACTTCAAGGTGACAAAACCCCTGGTGTTAACATAAATGTCTAAACTGTGGCTTTAAGCCACAGCCCTCAGTAGGAGGTGATATAAAGGTGCATCTCCTCTGTAGGGGCTCCCAGAAGCATTATGCTGCTGCTCTACCTATTGAAAGAACGTAGCAAACACTCCCCTCTGTGTGCTGGCCACCTGTTTGAGGAGTCTAGTGCCACTGTCACCTTGGAACTGCCATTGCTCTCTCTGAGTGCCAGGGATGGAAATAAACTGGGCTCAGCATGGTGAAGTGGGGGCATGTCCTCCTCCACTCCTGTGCACCTCTTAAAGAGCTGGGCACGATCTAACTCAAAGCATATGAAAGAAAAATAAAAGTACTGTACACAATAAATATACAGCAAAAAGAGACACGACAAAAAAGACCGGTGCGCCCCCCACCTCACGGGACGAGGAGGAACATGTGTGTGTGGGGTGGTGACACAAGGTGTCAGGCAGCAGGACTTGTGGGGTCAGCTCCAGTCCCAGGTACAATGGAGTTGGGGTGGTTAGGGGCCAGCCCCAGCCCCTGGCAGTACTGCGGGGAGCTGGGGCAAGGAAGGGGTTAGCCCCTGTCCTGGCAGCGGCATGCGGAGCTTAGGGGAGGGAGGGGGTGTCAGCCCCTGGCTGCGGCATGGGGAGCTGTGAGAGAGGGGTCAGCCCCAGTGGCGGATTTAGAGTTAGTGGGGCCTTGTGCTCAGCTTCATTTTTGGGGGCCATCCTTGGGACTCAGCCAAGAAAAAGAACATTCTCTCTTATCTCCCCCTCCCCTGTTTTTCATGCTTTTTTTCTTCATCCTCTTCCTATAAGGAATAGCAAGTAAATGAAAATAAAATGAGGTACCTTGATTGTTCTTGTAGTCTAACTTATTTTTCCACAGACCACTTGAAAATCGCTGGGGGTCTTGGTGGACCACTTAATGATCTTTCCAAATATTGTCTGTACCCTTAGCTAACTATTGTAAAGTGCTTTGGATAAGAGCGCTTTATAAAAAAAATGTAAAAAAACCTTTGGGTGCGGGGTCTGGCCAGGACTTAGGGTGCGGGATGGGGCTCAGGGCTGGGGGTGCAGGGTTTGGGAGGGAGTTCGGGCGCAGGAGCAGGCTGGGGGGTGGGGTGCAGGGTCTGGCCAGGAGTTAGGGTGAGGGAGGGGGGTCAGGATTGGGGTAGGAGGTTGGGGTGTGGAGTGCTTACCTGGGGCAGCTCCCATTTGGTGTGAGGGGTGCAGGTGGGGATGTGGGGGGTTGCAGGAGTCAGGGAGGGCAGGGGGCTGGCGGTGAGTGCGGGGCTGCAGGAGTCAGGGCTGGGAGTGTGTGAGGGGGGTGCAAGAGTCAGGGCTGGGTGTGGGTGAGTGGGGTGCAGGAATCGGGGCTGGGAGTGTGTGAGGGGAGGTGCAGGAGTCAGGGCTGGGGATGCAGGGTCTGTCCAGGAGTTAGGATGCAGGAGGGGGCTCAGGGTTGGGGCAGGAGGTTGGGGTGTGGAGCTCTTACCTGGGGCAGCTCCTGTTTGGTGTGCTGGATGTAGGTGGGAATGTAGGGGGGGTGCAGGAGCTCCTGTTTGGTGCTCAGGGTGGGGGTGAGGATGTGGAGGAGTGCAGGAGGCAGGGCAAGGGGCTGGGGTCATGGGGATGCTCCGTGCTCCCTGTCCCGCCCCACCCCAGCCCCAGCCCTGAGCGGCTCACTGCAGAGGGCTGGAGGGGGTATGTGTAGGGGGAGTGCGGGGGCCCCGCCTTTGCTCCGTCCTGCCCCGATTCCACCCCCTTCCCCAAGGCCCCGCCCCACCTCATCTCCACCTTGCCCCCAAGCGCGCTGCAGCCCCACTCCTCTCCCTCCCTCCAGGAGCGCTGGCAAACAGCTGTTCGGCGGCAGGGGAAGCGCAGGGAGGGGGAGGGCCGGGAACGCGGCACGCTCGGGGAAGGAGGTGAGGAAGACGCGGGGGGACGGAGAAAAGCTGGTGGGGCCTTGAACTGCAGCCCAAGCAGAGCAGGCCAGGGCCCCTTTGGAGCCTGGACCCGCCACCATGCCGCCAGTGGTGCCATTGTAAACCCAGTACTGGTCACTGCTTCTCAGGATAGGAGTTCCCCATCGGGTAAGTCTGACCTACATTCTTTGTCCACATGTTTTTTAAAATGTGTTGCCCCAAACAGGGCACAGGCCAGTTGCAGAGGCCTCACCAGTGCTGAGTAGAGCAGAACCATTACTTCCTGTGCCTTACATACGATACTCCTGTTAA